CAAGGAATTGCCTGAGTGCTTCTTAATAGAAAGTGAGAGGCAAAGGGGATTCCTGCATTTCACATTGCTCTGCCTCCCCGTGCCTCACCAGGAGCACGGGGTTGGCGTTGGTTTTCTGTGCCAAAGCAACGTCTGGGGGGGCTCAGAAGGCAGTGATGGGGCTGTGTGATGTGCGTCTCGTGCTGCTGAGGGCTGTGCCTTCTGACCTACGCTCACAGCACTCTTCTGATGCCTGCAGCAAACAAGGACACTGAGCAGAGCTCCGCTCCCTGGTGCGAGTCTTCTCCAGATGAGTTCCGCTACAGCAACCTGATGTACCCCGACCATCGGGAGCGAGAGAAGGACCAGCACGAGAAGAACAAAAGGTGGGTTGTGGGCTGGGCTGTGGGGTGCCTTGGGTATGGCAGCCTGAGCTCTGTAGCCGGGTCTCTGCTGATGCTTTGAAACCAGAAGGGAAGCAGCAAGCCTGTTCCTGCACCTTTACCTTCAGGTGGTAACTTGGAGAACTGTGCAGCACAGCTCAACTCCGCTGGGTTTTCATGTGACACGTGGGAGCTGCTGGGGTCCTGCTGTTAGAACAAGCCGGGGGCAGACCAGCGGTTCTCCGTAGCACATCAGCAGCACGTGGGAAGTAATCTGTTGTTGTTCCAGTGATGGGAGCTGGTTCCCATCACTAGCAATGGGACTGCAGCCAGACTGAGAGCACAGTTTGTTTTTTCCTCAAGGCTCCTGGATCCTGCCAATACTCAGCAGTTTGATGACTTTAAGAAGTGCTACGGTGAAATCCTCTATCGCTGGGGTCTGCGAGAGAAGCGAGCTGAGGTCCTGAAGTTTGTCTCCAGTCCTCCTGATCCCCACAAAGGAATTGGTGAGTGCCTGCTTCAGTCTTCTCTGGTTGTCCAGGCAACAGGCTGCCCACAGAGGCTGTGGATGCCCTGTCCTTGGAGGTGTTCAAGGCCAGGTTGGATGGGGCCCTGGGCAGCCTGGTGTAGCATTAAGCGTGGAGGTTGGTGGCCCTGCGTGTGGCAGGGGGGTTGGAGATTCATGATCCTTGAGGACCCTTCCAACCCTGGCCATTCTGTGATTCTGTGAAAGTTGGTGACTTCATTGTGTTATCTTCTCCATAGTGAGCAGTCAAGACATTGATATCACTGATATCAGATGTGCTCTCTGTGATGGGAGAACAAGGCTGTTCCTGTTTGTTTCTAGCCACACTTAGATGTGAGGCAGATGAGAGCAGCCAGAAGCTTTCCTCTCTGCAGCGTGTCTCAGTCTAGAAATGACAAATGTTCCATCCAGCAGCTGTTTAGCCATCAGGACAATCAGTGGGCCAGCCTGTGTCCCAGCACTCTGACTGCCTGTCGGTGGTGATAAGTCGTTGCTCCTTTTGGAGACAAACTGAGGTCTGTGAAACACAGATTGTTGTCCCGTTGTGAAGCAGGAATCCCTCCTGCTTCGACCTGAGCAAGAGCCGATGGGCCCAAGTTGCACCAAGGGAGACTCAGGTGGGATTTTAGGAACAATTTCTTCTCCCCAAGAGCGGTGATGCAGTGGCACAGCTGCGCAAGGCAGTAGGGAGTCCCTGTCCCTGGAGGTGTCCCAGAGCTGCAGGGATGTGGCACTGAGGGCTGTGGGCACGGTGGGGCTGGGCTGGGCTGTGACTTCAGGATCTGCCTTTCCCAGCCTTAATGACTCTGCGGTTTCCAGCAGCACTGATCGTCTCGCTCTCCATTCTGCCCTCCCACAGAGTTTGGTGTGTACTGCAGCCACTGCCGCAGCGAGGCGCGGGGCACGCAGTGCGCCATCTGCAAGGGCTTCACCTTCCAGTGCGCCATCTGCCACGTGGCCGTGCGGGGCTCCTCCAACTTCTGCCTGACCTGTGGGCACGGTGGCCACACCAGCCACATGATGGAGTGGTTTCGCACGCAGGAGGTTTGCCCCACGGGCTGCGGCTGCCACTGCCTGCTCGAGAGCACCTTCTGAACGGCAGCAGAGCACAGCGCCCCGGGAAGGGGCCTGGGGATGGAATTCCCAAGCCACGTGGACTCAGCTCTGCGGCGCCTGGAGGAGCCGTGCTGGGAGCCGGTGCAGGACTTGTGGTGACCTTTCTGAGTGCTTCCAGTGTCACTGTGCTTCCCGGCTTGCTTCCACACCGCTTGGACCAAACTCCAGTGTGTCCATTGCTGGCGATGGATGCCGCACCACCGTGCTCACGCTTGTCCTGCAGGAGTGTAAATGTTGGCCGGTCTCTGCCAGGCTGTGGAAGGGCATCGGAGTTCCTTTGGAAAGCACTCGGCTGGCAGAGCCAGACCTGCTCCAGCTGCCTAATGTCTTTCCAGGTGCCTCTGGATAGGCCAAGGGTGAGCCGGGCAGAGCCTTCTTCACACACTTGAGGCAGAAGTAATTTGCAAGCAGCAGTGAGCTCTGCAGGCTCACTGTCACCTGTGCTCAACAAGTGGCTGTGCTTCAAGTCACTTTCTGAGCCAACAGGGTCCTTATTTTTGAACTGCTGTTTGCGTTGCTGAGGTTATCCCATAAAGCAAGAGTGAAATGACGTTTTTCAGCATTATTTCCTGAATACTTTCCTCCCACTGTTCCATATCAGCCCCTGGTGTGAAAAGCCCAGCCACGCAACCACAGCCACTAGGATTAGTTGCTTTCTTCCAGACGTTTATTGCTCTTCAGTAAGTGTCCCTGCGTTCTGCCCTGGGTGATTCAGTGCACTTTAACTTGCCTGTCCCTGCCTTGCTGGCAGCTCGTCCTCAGGGCTGGGAGAGGCAGCTGCTTTTCTGTTTGGGATCCACAGCAGGTTTCGAGGTCTCCTTTCACCTGCGGGGAGCAATGCAGAAAGGTTTGGGAGGACACAGGCAGAACATTTGCTCCGTGCAGGGGGGAGTTGATGAGTAATTGGTGATGGTTTCAAGAGGAAAAGGGGTTTGGAAAAGGGGTGGGGATGACAGAGGCAACAGGTTTGTGCCTTCCATGTGAGAATGTCCTGGATGGACCCCTCTCTATGGGGCCGTGCCTGCCGCCTGGCCTGTGTCTGCGATAACTCAGGCCGTGGGCTCCTGCTGTGCAACAAGCAGAAGACATGTCTTAAAATTAAAGTTATTTTTTGAAGCGTGCTCTGGTCGTCGTGCCGTGAGCAGCTCTCCCTCCCCTGCAATTCCACTGCACTTGCTGTGCATCCTCTGGGCTCCCCAGGGCTCCCACTCCCCATTCCCACACCCACTTCCCCTCTGTGTCACCCTGGAAGCAGCGTGGCCGCCCGCAGCTCCCTACGTGCCAGCCGTCCACCCCTGCGTGCCTTCATTTCCATGCTCGAGAGTGCACGTCTAGGCTGGGAGGGAAGGGAGACTTGTTATTTAAAGATGACAGGCTGACAGATTGTGGCATTTGCACGTTATTACAGATCATTACAGGCTATCTCCATAGTATCTGAATGCCTTGCAGCTGGAGGGCGGCTGATGCTTCGGAGCGAGGTGGAAAAGCTCCGGGTGTTTGTGCAACCCTGCCGAGGGAGGAGGAACTTCTTCCCGGACGCTCTCACACCCTGCAGCGAGCGCAGCGCCTGCCTTGGGAACGCTCTTGCTCAATGCGCGGTGACTGCGAGGAGGCAGGAAGGGCTGATTCCCACCGGCCCGAGCAGGGAGCTGCCGAGGGACCCCGCATCTGCACGGGCTGCTTCCTGTGCGGCCACGTCCCCATGAACCCGGCGTCAGGGCTGCAGGGCTTCGTCCCCGCAAACACCGTGGCCGCATTCCTGCATCCGGTGGGCAGGTGAACCGGTCTGGGAGCCGCGGGTGTCGGCAGCGCCCGAGGGCGCGCTGGTGGCTGGAGTCCCTCCGCCTGCATTGCAGGGCGCTGCCCGTCCCCGTGGCTCCAGGGGCGCAGGGTGCTCCGTGCTTTGGGTGCTGCGCCCCAGGCGCGCCCTCGGGATGGGGGTTGTCCGGATTCACCTCCGCCCCCATCCCCGAGTGGAAACTCCCTGCCTCGCCCTGGGGCTCGGGGACCCCAAAATGAGGACGGTGGGCCTCGAGCTGCCGCTGGGCAAAGATGTCACGCGGCGGCACGGGCGCTTTGGAGTCTGCCCCGATTAAAGGCTTCGCTCAGCAGCCGGGCCTGGGGTGCTGCAGGGCAGGGGGGGCCGCGTTCCTGGGCAGGGAGCACCCATGGCTGGGCTGGGCTGCGGCGTGGGGGCGTCCCCTGAGGCAGCCTCACACCCACGGGGGCAGAAGCCACAGCGGGGGGGGAGAGGTTGGGGGATAATGGGGAGGAGAAGCAGGGCTGTCAGCAGCGCTTTATTCATCCCCCTTAACCTCCACTCCTGGAGGGATTCTTGGGGGGGGGGGGGACTCCATCCTGCCCTCCCAGCTGGGGGCCCGTCCGGCTCGTTGCATCGGTGACAAATCTGCAAAGAGCCAGGGGTCGGGGGAGCTCAGGACCAGGGATGCCCACAGCCGTGGTGCCCCCAGCATCACCCCGTCCTCTCGGGCACACCTGCACCTCCATTGCCCCAAGGGGTCCCACCATCACTGCTGCGCCCCACATTTCTGCCATTCCTTAGAATCATAGGATCACAGCATGGCCTGGGTTGCAAAGGAGCACAGCGCTCATCCAGCTCCAACCCCCTGCTGTGTGCAGGTCGCCAACCAGCAGCCCAGGCTGCCCAGAGCCACATCCAGCCTGGCCTTGGATCCCTGCATCCACAGCCTCCTTGGGCAGCCTGTTCCGGTGCCTCACCGCTCTCTGAAGTCTTCCAGACTCGCGCAGGGTGAAGCTCACCCCGTAGCCCCCATTTCTCAGAGGCGCCGCATCGCCCCCCGCTCCCCCAGCCCTCCGTTCTGCAACCCCGCACCTGCCGGGTGGGCGGGGCCACCCTCCACAAGCCCCTCCCCCTTTTCCACCCCCCACCCAATGGGCTCGCGGGAGGGGCGTGGCCTCCCCGCCTAATGAGCGGCGCGGGCGCGCAGGTGGCGGCAGAGCGCGGCGGGGCCGGGGCCGGGCGGGGGCCATGGCGGCGCCGCGCTCCTTCAGCGCCGCGGAGGTGCGGGATCGCTGCGCGCGGGGCGAGTGCCTGGTGCGGTGCCGCCGCCGTCTGTACGACCTGAGCGCCTTCGTGCGACTGCATCCCGGCGGCGAGCGGCTGCTGCGGAGCAGAGCGGGCACCGACGTGAGCGCCGCGTTAGACGGGCCCCCGCACCGCCACTCGGCCAACGCCCGGCGCTGGCTCGAGCAGTACTACGTGGGCGAGCTGCGGGACGAGCAGGTAGCGGGCTGCGGGATGCGGGAGCCGTCCGGTGCAACGGGAGCGGGGTATGGGTGCGGAGTCCATTGGGCGTGCCGGAGTTGGGCCGGAGGGGTGCGGGGTTTGGAGGGCGCGTTGGGAGCAGCGTTGGAGGTGTGGGGTGTGCGGGGTATGGTGGGAGCGGGGCTGGGTTGCGGGATGTCCCGGGGATGGGGGGAGCGGTGTGGGGTCTGTAGGGTGCCTCGGAGCTGGGCTCAGCGCTGTGGGGTCCATGTGGTGCCCAGGAAGCAGGGTAGGAAATTTAGGGTGTGCTGAGTGTGAGTTGGGATGTGTGGAGTCTGTAGGGTGCCCCAGGGTTGGGATGGACGCTGTGGAGTCTGTAGGGTAGCGTGGAAGTTGGGTAGGAAGTATGGGATCTACTCGGGAATGTGCTGGGAATGTTTGGGAAGTCTGGGGTCAGTAGGGTGTGCCGGGTGAGGTGAGGGGTACGGGGTCTGTAGGGAGTTCTAAGGGGGGGTGGGGATCCATAAGGTGACCCAGAGTTGAGTTTGACACTAAAGGGGTTGTAGGGTGTCGTGAGGGTGGCGTAGGAGATACGGGGTCTGTAGGTTGCCTCAAGAGTCGGGGAGAATGGGATCCATAGGGTGTGCTGGGTGAGCGAGCCGATGTGCATTGGGCCTATAGGGTGCCCCAGGGTTGGAGTGGGCAGTGTGGGGTCTGTGGGGCAGCCGGGTCCCGTGAGCGTGGGATGGAGCTGCACGGTGCCTGCAGGTGTCCGGGGTGAGCTGAGCTGTGCAGCGTCTGCAGGGCACCCCGAGAGCTGTGCGGCGTCTATGGGGCACCCCGTGTCCCTGTCTATGGGGCTGAGCTGCGTGCGGCGCTCAGGGCCGCGAGGGCTTGGGACGTGATGCAGAGTGCGTGCGGAGCGCCCAGCGCCTGTGGTGCAAAGGTCCGGGGCACACCCAGGCTCCGGGGGAGGTGGAGGGGGGGTCTGCGGACTGCGATCCGGGGCTTGGGTGCCAGCCAGCACCGCAGCCGGGCTGTTGGGGTGTGCGGGGCGGGCTGGAGGAGCGGTGCTGCTGCAGCGGTGTGCATTGACCGAATGCCCGGTGCCGCGGGGTCGATGACCGGCGGTGCTTCCCGGCGCTGTTTGCTCTCCGGCCCCGCACAGATACAGCTTTGTTCGGCTCTTGCAGCCCCAAAGCCCGGCGATGGCAGCGCCTTTGTTGGGACGCGGCCTCCACAACAAGCCCGACAGGTTCGGCCGAGCGCCGGTACCGACCAAACGGGTTCTGTGCCGCTGCGCGAAGGCAAATACCGGTGCGATAACACCGGGCGAGGGGATCGCGCGCTGCCTGGCACGGGATAACGCGTCCTGGGTGGCGGTGGCACCGGGGTGAGAGCAGCCCCGCTGGGGCCGGCGTGCGCCCTTGGCGATGCCCGGGTTGGTTTGGGGCGGACGCGGCCCCGGTGGGGATTTGGAGGAGGTGCTGCGCCGCAGGACGTCCCATAGGAATGCGAGTTTATTAAACGAGAGCCCGGCTTAATTATGGAGCGTGTGGGTCCTGGGCCGCCCCCGGCGGGTGGGCGGCTATCGGGGGCTGAATCACCCGTCCCCATTTCCGTGGCCGAAGTGCGCGCACGGAGCGCAGCGCAGATGAAAGCGAGGAACGGCAATTAGCTCCGCGAGACGGCGGGGTTCAGCAGCTTCGCTGTGGGGGAATCGGATCGTATAATTAGCCGGCAATTTGAGCAATGGGGCTTTCATCAGAGCTCCGCGGGGCTGCGCGACGCTGCCGTGAGTCACCGCGCATCTCCCGGCGCCGTGTGAGCTCACCGTATGTAGGCGCTCACCTGTTGGGAGGTGTTGTAATAAAAAGGGCCCTGCTTTTTATTATTATCTCTTTTTTTTTTAAAACCCGCGTTTTATGGGCCGTGTCACCTCGCATCCGCATCTCACCGCCCTGTGATTCACGGCCTGAAGGCGGGATGGTGACGCGGGCACCGTGGGGTGAGCTTGGGGTGTCCGCGCCCCATAAGGCCGACAGGGGTCGCGGGCACGGGAGCATCGCTGGTGCCGCGCGGTGGAAACGCAGCGCAGCCTTCCTTCGCTTCCCAGCAGGGCCGCCCGCGGCCGGGGCGAGGTGCAGGGCGGCGGCGCTCCGTAGGCGGGCGCGACTTTCCCTGCCTTACATCACGGCTCCGGCAGGACCTGTTCGCCCTGCGCCGCGTCACAGGCAGCGGCAGCATCGCCCACGGCGCAGCCCCGCCGCCGCCTCCCCTCCGGCTGACGCTCGCGGGGTCTCCGTCCGGCAGAACCAAGCGGGAAGACTCGAGACGCCTAAAGCTGAAGGTCTTCCCGCTCGGTTCTGCTGCCCGGCCCGGGTGTCACCTTGTCCCACTGGCAGTGGGTCGGTCAACGTCAGCATCACGAGGGCTCCATAAAGCCCTGGCTGCCCGCCGAGGCGTCGCTGGGGCCGTGTCACCGCCACTCGTGTCCCTGTGTGGGGACCGTCCCACGTGTCCCAACCATCTGGGGAAAACCTATGGCTGGTTAATGGGTAACCGAGGTGACGAGGCAGGGGAAAGGCGCGTCGGCACCCAGAAGCACGGAGGGATGGATGGGCCACCACGGCCCTGCTGGTGGGCAAAGCCACGTGGGGGGGATTCCCCCTTTTTCTCCGTCCTTGTGCCCCCGGCCCTCGTGTGCCTCGATGTCCCAAACAGCGCAGTGCCCTCCAGCCGTAACAGCAGCCTGGTGTGTGTGTGCACGCGTTGCAGAAGCACGTGGATGTGGTTTGTGGGGACGTGGTGAGCAGGCAGCGCCGCGGCAGGCGGGCGGTTGGACGAGATGTGGGGGTGGTCTCTACCGACCGCGGCGACCCCGAGCTTCTCCAGCACCCCCAAACCATCGCTTTCTCATTGCAGAGCTGCCCCAAGGCTGAGAAGCCGCTGGACGCTGCAGCCCCACGGCTGGATCCCCGCTGCAAGCCGGTGGACGTGGGCACGGTGAGGCCGTGCTCTGCCCTTCGCCCTGCACACAGCGCTGCCTTTATGGCCCAGGAGCGGCCGCTCTGGGAGGCTCCTCTGTGGGCGCCGGTGCCTTTCTTTGACAGCAGCTTTGCCTCTATAAGCAGGACGTGCTGCTACACCACGCCTCGTGCTGTTTGCTTTTATTATTATTATTATTATTTCTATTCATGTATCATTTGTTTTTCCCTTTTTGCTGACATATAAGGGGTGTCCTGGCTGGGCAGACTGAGAGCTCGGTGTCCCAGGGTTTCTCCCTGTCCCCAAGGTGCCTTTGGATGCCTCTTGTTGCACCGCGTGGCTGCTGTGCCAAGCGCTCTTTGGGGAGCACCAGCCTTTATCTTTATTTGACCAACAGGAAACCCTTTGTTCACTATGAATGTTTTGCCACCGATTGCCTTTAAAAGAGAATTTTTTCCTTTGCGTGTGTCCCAAAATGAGATTTTGCTCGGAAGTTCTGCTGGTGTGGAGCATCTGCATCCATTCCCACGCATCCTGGGGTCGTTACCCTGCTGGGTGACCACATCCATCCCTATCCAGACTCCACAGGCAGCGGCACAGCTGCCAAAGGACGGGAGTCACCGTCCCTGGAGGTGCCCCAGAGCCACAGGGATGTGGCACTGAGGGATGTGGGCACGGCGGGATGGAGCGGGGTTGGACCTGGGGATCTGAGGCCTTTCCCAGCCTTCATGATTCCATGAGTCCCCCCAGATTGCGGGTACTATCGGGAAGGGGACGAGGGAGGGAGCTAACCAACAGCCCTGTGCCCCCAGGACCTGGTGGACTGGCGGAAGCCCTTGCTGTGGCAGGTGGGCTACCTGGGGGAGAAGTATGACGAGTGGGTGCACCAGCCCGTGGATCGGCCCATCCGCCTCTTCCACTCGGATTTTATTGAGGCCCTCTCCAAGACGGCGTGGTGAGCATCCTGGGGTGGTGGAGGGAGGGTGGAGGTGTGCAGATACGTGGGTCCGCCCCCCTGACCCATCCCCTGTCTCTGTAGGTATGTGGTGTTCCTGGTGTGGACCCCCGTGGTGCTCTACCTCAGCTGGCTCAGCTACACAGCTCTGGCACAGGGCGACACCAGGCTCTTCTCCTCCTTCACCGCAGGTACGACCCGTCCCCGGCCTTCAGCGCACGCCTGCATGAGCGTGGTCCGTCCCCAGTCCCCGCAGCCCCCAGCACTGCCCTGCACGCAGCCACCCATGCTGGCTGAGCTCGCCTTGCTCCCCTGCCTGTCTGTTTGAGGTTTGTTCCTAGAGGGTGCTGCCGCCCCAGAGAGCGGTGGGCGCAGAGCGGGCTGCCCAGGGCAACGGGCACAGCCCCGAGCTGCCTCTCTTCCTCCACACTCAAAACGAAGCCCTGCTGCTCACCGATGGCCACGTCCCCCTGCGCCGCCACCCGCTGCCCTGACGCTGGGGCTGGGTGAAAAACACGGCTCTCACACCACCGGCCTCGCACAGAGCACGGCTTGTTCAACCAGCACCTCCCCCTGAATCCACCACTGTGCGCAGCCCCGGCAGCGGGCAGCAGGCAGCTGGGTGACAGCTTTGTTGTTGGCCCCGCTGCGGGTGCCACCCTGTGCCAGCTGCCTCGCTCGGTGCCCAAAATCAGAGCAGGTTTTGATGTTCTGGCTTCCCTGCCTCTGTCCTGGGCTGGAATAAATCCATCACGCATCCTTTTGTTCCTCCCCGTTCTCTTTCCATCTCTTTTTGTGTTCCCAGCTGTGCTTTCTGCCTCCCCATGCAGGGTGATGGGCTGCGCACCGGGCATCTCGCTGCTCACAGGGGGTTTTCTTCTCATTGCCACACAGTGCTTGGATCTGGGGGAATTTTGCCAGTGAGCACGGGGTGAATTTTGTGAGGGAGGACACAGGGTTTGCTGGCAGCAAAAGGAGGAGGTGGTGGAAAAATGCTCTGCGGGGGAAAGCGCCCGGCAGCTGTATTCTCTGCCAAACAAAAACACAGCGGTGGCTCTGTTCCGCTGTCACAAGCGCTGCCTGTGTCCGTCGGGTCGTGCTGCCTGTTTGGGTGGGGAAAGCTGCTCCGTAAGGACATGCTTGCAGTCCCAGCTGGCATTGGCTCCTACCCCAAAGAGCACAAATTGAGGGGAACCAAACAAGTGGGGGGAGAGGCGAGCTTCACCAGGCTGCTGGCATCAGGATGGCCACGGATAGAAGCATGCGAATCCACCCGCCTCGCTGACTGCTGCATGTCTCATTGTGTAGAGTACTCCATCCCCGTGCACAAACACTGCTTCCCCTTCATCTTCCTCCTGGGGATGTTCCTGTGGTCCCTGCTAGAGTACCTCATCCATCGCTTTGTCTTCCACATGAAGCCACCCGCTAGTAACTACTATCTCATCACCCTGCATTTCCTGCTGCACGGGCAGCACCACAAGGTGAGCGGCAGAGCTTCTGCTCCTCTCGGGGTGCCCTTGCTCTTTGCTAATGCCAGAGGATGAGCTTGGAGCAGCTGAGTTAAACCACGAGCCCGGCTTGCAAGACTTGGAAAGCAGCGGGCTCCCTCTAGCTTCACCAGGGGCTACGTCTGCCCCCGTGGAGATGCCTCGCTCAGGATGCATTTGGGGTGGGAGGGTTCCTGGGGGCGGCTTCGCCACGCGTGGGGACGGCGCTGCTTGTGGGACGGATGCTTCCAGCTCTCAGGGAGGCTTTGGGGTGAGCGAGGAGCTCGCCGTCCCACCGTCTCTCTCCGCTTCCAGTCCCCCTTTGACAGCTCCCGCCTGGTCTTCCCCCCGGTGCCGGCCTCGCTGATCATGGCCTTCTTCTACGGCGTGCTGCGGCTGCTGCTGCCCGAGGTGCTGGGGCTGTCTGTGTTTGTGGGAGGGCTGTGTGGCTACGTGGTGTACGACATGATGCACTACTACCTGCACTACGGCTCGCCGAAGGAAGGCACCTACCTGTACGGGCTGAAGGCGTACCACGTCAAGCACCACTTTGAGCACCAGAAGTCAGGTAGCGCCGCGTTGCCGTGCTGTGCTGTGCCTTTCTGGCTTGGGAATGGGCACGGAGGTTGGGAACACTCTGTGGGATTTGGCACGGCGTGGGGGTGCCTGTGACAAAGTGCCGCTCTGTGGGAGCCCTGCTCCGTGCCCATCTTGCCATCAGGCAATGGCACACCGTGCCCAGCCCCTCCTCGTGGCACCGTTGGCGGGTGCAGGGTGAGGCTTCCCTTGCTCTGCCCCACACCTTCCCCTTGCTCAACCTGCCCTTTGCCCGGTTTCCTAGGAGAAAGCACCCCGTCCAGATAAGCTATCATCCCAGCCGGCTCCTCTCGTTGTTCTCTCTGCTCTTCCTCCTCGCCCTTGCTTGTTGCCCTGGGGCCGGGTGACGCGCCGTCAATCCCGTAAACGACCGCCCCGCTCTGGTGTCATCACCAAGCCGGGTGACATTTGCGTCCCGGCCACGCGGTGGGGCCCTGCGGAGCTCGGGCTGTAACGGCTCCCTGCCCCGGCTCCCCCTGTCCCGGTGGTGCAGCCCTGCTTAGCGCCGTCCAGCGGTGCCGCGCGCTGAGCGCTCTCTCGCCTCCCCTGCAGGCTTCGGCATCACCACCCGCTTCTGGGATCACCCCTTCCGGACGCTCATCCCCGAAGAGACCTTTGAGAAAGAGGACTGATGGCCCCGGCGCTCAGCCGACCGTGCTCAGGGCCGTGACGGCTCAGAACGCTGTGCTGCCGAGGGTCGGCACCGTCCTCCTTGTCCCTCTCCGTCGCCCGTCGTGGGGCCGCTCCATCCCCTCTGTGCTGCCGCTGGGGCCGGGGGGTGTGGAGGTGGGGAGGGGGCCGGAGGAGGCTGTTGGGGCTCCAGCTCTTCCCATTGAGAGCACTGATGAGCGGGCACCTCTGTGCCTGGAGGATGAAGTGCCGGCTGCCTCGAGCCCCCCCTGCTACACCCCGCACCCCCGCCTCTCAGTGCCTCCCTGAGCCGCCCGCTGCACTGCGCCCAACTCCCACCCGGGGGCTCCGACCTCTCGGGTTGCCTGTGGGGGGGGGGAGGCAAAATAACCGAGGGAAATCAAACCAAACCCGCGCTGCCTGCCCGTGCAGCGGGCTTCCCTTGCTCTGCGGTGCCAGGCGGGCGTCTGGCAGGGCGGCCTTGGCCTTTCTCTAACCAGCGCTCCCATCTCCCTGTCAGGTCTGTTTGACTTTGCATTCGTGTGGTCCTCAGCTACTTGAAACTTAAACTCCAATGAATGGAATTGCTAAAAGATGCCTGTTTTTTTTTGGTTTGTTTTTTTGGGCTGATCCTGTGATTATTATTAGTATTTTTTTTTTTTTCTAATGTTTACTGCAGATATTTAAAGGTTCGGAATGAAGCTATTACGTACGACTGTAGACATGGCAATTGTAAATAAACTGTATATTTTGAAAAATAAAACCTTGCATGGAATCATAGAATCACCAAGGTTGGAAAAGACCTAAAAGATCATCCAGTCCAGTCGTTCCCCGAGGGCCTGGCTCTGGGGGGGCTCTCGAGGTCACCGTCCCTTGCCGTCACCTTTCCCACTTCCCCGTGCTGGCTGGGGCCACTGAGAAAAGCAGAGCTGTGGCAGAGAGGGAGATGCTTCCCATCAGCTGTGTGACAGCCAGCCCTCTGTCACTGGAAAGGCCCCGGGGCCACTTCCCCGAAGTTGGGCAATGGGTGTCACACGCGGCCCCGAGCTTCCGAAAATTGGCCTGCGAAGCTTCCTGCCCTCCTGGTAGGGGCAGGCATTGCTTTCCTCACCTGTAACCCGCTTCCTCTGACGATGGATGGGCTGAGAGAGGGGAGGGCTGCGTGGTCGGGCTGGAATTGGGGCTGGGGGCTGCTGCTCCCTGCCACACAGCCCCCCTGCAGGGCTGGGATTTTTGGTACCAAGCCCTGGGAAAGCCGTGTGGCAAAACGGGTTGGAACGGCAGCATCGGGGGCACAGACACCTCCCTACCCTGCTTTCCCAAAGTGCCTCCTGTGGGGGGTTCCTCCTTCCAGCACCCCGATCCTGCATGGAGGGGCACTGTGTGCCTCTGCACCATCCTCCGTCAGCTGGAGCAGCTTTCCTGTGACGGTGGTTCCACGTTGCACAATGCAGCTTCCGCTGCTGGGAAAGCACCCTATAAACCCCCGCGTCCCTGGTTCCTCTCCAGTCCGAGAGACGGCCGAGGAGGAGGCGAGCAGAAGGGGGTCTGGTAAGCTGCGCTCTTTGATTTCATTTAGCAAAGGTTCCCTGGGGGGAGAGGAGATGACATGAAGAGGTTGGGGCTGCCTGAACGTAGGACAAAACTGTTATCTGGGTGGTAACGCTGGGGAGCACAGCTGGGGGATGCTACTGGGAGATCACAGATCCTGCCCTGGCTGCTCCTGCTTTAATTCACGCAAAAGAAGCCAAAATGCCCCAGCAGTTGGACCCCTCAGTCCTCCCATCTCAGGATACTCTGTGATGGTTGGTGTGACGGTTCCACCGCTACCAGTGCCTTTGTTCACACGTGTCCACTCCGATCTACACAAATGCCAGAGCAGCCGTTGGGGAGGTGAGGGCTGTGGGGTGCTGTGTGCCATGTTAAGGCTGTTCCTTGACAGCTAAGGTGCGGAAGATCCACGCTGTACCTGTGAGCACTGCCCAAGGGTCACCTCCAGCAGACGCCGCTGCCCCACGTCCCCATCAGCCAAGCCCTTGGCTGAAAGCATGGACATCATAGAGAAGGTCTTCTCCATCGCCCATGCCATCCACAGCCAGTTTGAGCACGTCAGGTGCTGCAAGCACCAGTGCCAGCGCCTCGTGGAGCGCATCCACATCCTGCTGGGGCCCGTGCGGGTCCTGCAGGCTCAGCCATCTTGGCAGATCTCCCACCACGAAGAGCAAATGCTGACCAAGCTGCTCCAGGCGCTGGGGGAAGCCCAGAAGCTGGTGATAAAATACAGCCAGACCAGCTGGATCCAAAAGTTCCTGAGTGCCCGCAGCAGCGGAGAGGAGTTTGTTTGGGTGAACAAGAGCCTGGAGGACATCGCCCAAGGGCTCTCGCTGCTGCTACAAGCAGAGCAGAAGCAGGCGTTGCTGGAGGCCTTCCAGACAAAGATCTGTCGTAGGCAAGATGCTGAGGATCTGAGGGATGACAAGGCTTTCCTGGACCAGGTTATTGCAAGTAAGTGTGCATTTAGTGTGTCCCTTCCCCAAGACCGGAGGTTGGCTGGGAGCTGGCAGCCCACCCCAGCCCAGCTTCAGCCTGATGGCAATGGCAGGGGAAAGCCAAAGGGACCAGAAAAACTGGCAGTGCCAGTGCTGCACTTCACCCAGCCCATCTCTGCGCCTATCTGTCTTACCTCAGGTACCAAAGAACCTGAAGATGAGGCCTGGGAGATGCACATGGGCACTCAGTGCATGGAGAGCAAGGTGGACTGGATGCAAGGCGAGCTGAACAAAATCGTGCGTGTGATGGACAGTAAGTTGGCGTCACAAAGAGATCTGCCCTCCGCGTCCCTTTTAGAAAGGACAAACGCTCCTGTAAAAGGCTTTGCTAAGCCACAGAGTCGCTGGCTTTCCCCCAGCCCTGCCTGATCTGTGCCTCCTTCCTCCCGGTGCGGCGTGAGCAGGCTTGAAGAAGGTCAATGTGGGCAAAAGGGAAGCCATCACTGAGATCGAGCGGGACCAGCTCACCTTCCGCAGGCACCTGCAGGACACTGAGCGCTACGACCTCTATGAGGGAGAGTATCTCAAGTACCCAGTCGCCATCAAAACCTTCAAGAGGCCGCTGACCACCGACACAGTGTGAGTTGGAGCAGCGCAGGGCAGTGCGGTTGGGAGAATGGCACGGCGTATCTTGCCCTGGGGACCTTTCAGAATCTAAAGGGGCTGGAAGAAAGAAGATTCTTTAGTGGGGTCCGTTGTGACAGGACAGGGGGAAACGGTTCAAACCAAAAGGGGAGGTTTGGCCTGGAGCTAAGGAAGAAGTCCTTCGCGCTCAGGGCGCTGAGGCACAGGCTGCACACAGAGCTGGTGCTGCCCCATCCCTGCACACAGCCAAGGTCAGGGCACGGGGCTGTGAGCGCTGATGGAGCTGTGGGTGTCCCTGCTCAGTGCAGGGACTGCGAGCAGACGGCCTTTAGGGTCCCTTCCCACTCAAACCTTTCTATGACTCCACGACCTCACTGTGCTGTCCCTTTCTGTAGGAAGGTGAGAGACATCTTTGAGAAGGAGATTCAGACCCTGAAGAAGTTTGAGTCTCCAAACATTCTGCGCATGTATGGGATCTGCATTGAGGAGAAAGGTATGGGGTGTGCCATTTAGGGCTTCCTCTTGCTTCCCTGCCTGTCCCTAGTGCTAGCTGGTGGCAGACAGCTCGAGGTGACACAAAGGGGCATGCCGGAGAGGCAGCTTCCCCCATCTCTGCTGAGGCTCTTGCAGGGATGAGGCAGGTCTCTGCTGTAAAGCACTAAACCATTATTCAGATCCCCCCAAAACAGAGACATCCAGCCAGTTCTACCTAGCAGAACCAGCACTGGCCTACCGTGGTTCGTGCCTGGGAGCTCTCCTGATATGAGCTGGTCTGTGGCTGTCCTGGGGCCAGCAGCCCCCTCAGCATGCATTTTTCTGCATCAGATGGGATCCCCTGCTTCTCCATCGTCATGGAGTACTGCAAGCACGGCACGCTGCGGGAGGTGCTGACCAAGCAACAGCATCTCTCCTGGGAAGTCCGCATTCGGATGGCCCTGGGAGCTGCCAGGGGCCTTTACAGGTGAGCTCCAAATCGGTGGCAGGCCGTCTGGGGGGCCACCTGCACGCGATGCTGCACCCCAAGGCAGAGGTTGGCTCAACACAGCACACATTGCTCTTGTTTCTGGCTGGCTGCAGGTTGCACCAGACGGAGGAGAAATCCCGACTGCACGGCTGCATCTGCAGCAGCAAGTTCCTGGTGGCTGGGGATTACTGTGTGAAGGTAAGGACCACGCCTGGAGAAGCTCTAGAGGTAGGAGTGGGGGGGTGGTGAGGTTGCATTTAGCTGCCAACCACGCATGTTAGAAAAGGAAGAGGAAATGTGGCCACAAAAGTTGAGCTGAGAACCGGTGACCAACTTTACATTTCTAACGCCTCCCCCTTTCTCAATCTAACTTTTGCAAACAGCTGTCAGGATTTGAGCTGTGTGAAACAGAGTCTTCCATCAAGAGAAAAGTCAATAAGAAGAACTTGAACCAAGTCTGTATGTTGGCTTACATTGCCCCCGAGAACCTGATGGATGTCTATTGCCCCTACAAGAGGTCCTGTGAGATATACAGGTATGTCTGCCCCACAAGCCCTCCCGGGTGCGATGCCAGTGGGCAGATGTCAAGCTGTCAAGCTGTGGATGGAGGCCAGGTTTAATCAAACATTACTATGAGGCGTAGCCCCCAGCCCTCTCCGTCAGAAAGGAGGATGACGTGGTGGGATGACCACTGAGAAACTCTTGCTTGTCTTTTTCCAGCTTTGGGGTCGTGCTGTGGGAGATTGCAACCTCCAAAATCCCATTTGAAGGTGAGTCAGAAGTTTCAATGGGGCCCAGTGGTGTCACGGCAAAGATGGGGGGAGCTCATTGCTGACACAGTTTGGGTGCCCCCTCTGCCAGCTTCTCCATGGAGGAGGCTGCAGGATGTCTTCGGTGAGCCTCCACGCCTCCTGATGTCCTTGTTTCACTTAGGCTGCTCTCTCCAGGAGATCAGAGACAAAATCTGTGACCACCAATACCAGGAGCCAGTGGGAGAAGATTGTCCGGAAGAGCTGGAGAAAGTCATCAATCAGTGTCGGGCCTTCGATCCGTTCCAGCGCCCGTCTGCTGAGCGTGAGTGTCCTGGACACGTGCCCCACGGGTCCCTCAGTCAGTCAGCCGCCTCAGTGCTGAATCTGCCCCTTGTTTTCCATTGGGTTTTGCCCAGTTTTGTCTTTTGGGACCACCCCTCGTCCTGCCGACACCACCAGGTCTCCCAAGAGCAGGTTTCCTTCTGTAGCCCTTTCTGCTTACGGTCTCCTCATACACCCTGTTCACACAGCAGCATTTATCCACACCACGCACAGCCAGGCCCGCTCATTTGGCATGGCACAAGAGCAATTAATTGCAAACTCGGGTAAATGGGGAAGGTTCTCCATCCTTGGGGTGGGCGCAGGCCTGGCTGGGTAAACCACAAGTTCACAGGCACCAAAAGCACTTTGTGCTAACGCTGGCCTCGTGTTCCACAGAGATCGTGGACTTGTTGGCTGACCTGGAGAAAAGGAGGAGCCAGGGCAGCTAGCTGCGGAGAGCCCCAGCAGGCCGCCCAGACCGGCCTCCCTGCCTACCATCACTGCGACTGCAATCATCGAAGTGTCAATATATGTTTATTTATTAAATAAGACTGGAAAATCTCTGAGTGCTGGCTGGTTTGCGTTCTTCGAG